ATAACAATAAAAATCCCGGCCCTGGAAATTGCGCAATTATTCTAATTAATTAAATGTGTTTTTATTGCGCAAAATTTTTTTTAATTGCCGGTAAAATTAGCGTGAATAAAAACGTGCGCCTTGCAAAGAGTGCCTTTTGCTCAAAGTCCCCAATGGCTAAATATGAACCTCGTGGTTTGATTGCGAAGTGCTTTTTGAGTTTGTCTGTTCGTTGGTGGTCACTTGCGTTATCAGTTTGTACTCTGCTTGTTCGACTACTTCCTAGGCGAAACCAACCGGGCACCCTTACCCTGGTAAAACAAAATTTTTTGCCCTGCCTCCTTCGTGAGCTATTCTCGTGCCAAAAACGTTTAATACGTTTTTCCTTAAACGCATAGGTGGCGTCGTGTAGTTCGGAGTTCATAGTGGAGTTACCGTTTTGGATATCGTCGATCGCACCTTCGATCGTGTCGCTGCACACCGGGATTCGGGGCTGAGGCCCCTCGTTGTCGGTGGGGTCCTACAAGCGCAACTAGTTTGACGATACGTTGTCTCTCTACAAAATAAAAAGTAGTCTATAACCTTCTTATCCTCCCTAACTCCAGTTAGTGAACGGTGAAAAAATAAAATAAATTTACCATGTCATGTGAAATACAACTTGATAAATAATAAACAACAACCACGTTGACCGTGAAATACGAACTTGACAAATAACAAAACGCGGGTTCCAATACTCTCTCAACCTGACTTTAAATAATCTAAAAAATTTAGTTGACCAACCCATCTTAGCTTTATTGTTTCTCCAGACAAATACCGGAGACTTCGTTGTCTCTCTACAAAAAGGATTATCAGTCCCAAAGGTTAACAAGCTACATGAACTTACAAACACAATATGAGCCTTTCTCGTTGTCACAGTAGCGTCTGTTACAGTTATACGACTAACAGAACTGGATCTGGAGTATCTGATGGACTTAGAGACGTATAACTCATCGAACCATACATGTAAGGATTTATACGATAACGACTGTGACAATACCTGCAATTCAACGTGTGCATCTCAAGATCATCTCAGAACCACATTCTGTAGGAACCCTTCTTTTTATTTGTGGACTGCCTCAACTTAAAATCAAACTAATTCGACTCAAATAAGTTAACTATTAATCGGTGTTATTCAGTGAAATCAGTGTAGTGCTGTACACTGTTTTCAGGCCTGAATATTCAGCTGGACTTGGACTCGAGATCTGTAACACAGACCTAGATTTGACTTACACTAATGTCCACGTGTCGTGAATGTGTTGTTGTAAATTTACATTACTAGCACATTCACCGCATCTTGCTACAAAACACTGTATACAATAAAAACAATGTAAACAATAGTGGTTTTCCACAGGCACTTTCATTTCGGTTCACAAGTATTAATCTATCTGTAGCACTCCATAAATAAAGGCCCATGTCAAACTTACAAACTTTGGCAATCTCTCTCACCGTGTCGAACAATCGGACAGGTAAGAAGAAGCAAAGGCTTCGACACCGAACCTTCGTATGCTACGAAGCAAGACTTCCTTCACCTGAACCTTCATGCGCTGATGGTTCGGTCAATAGGAGCCTCTAACTCTTTGCCGATCAACTCTCTTTACTCTTTCAGGAGAGGAAGACTCGCCAGTAAAATTTCTCTGCCAGGTAATTACAACTGTCCTCCGTTGTCGTCGTGAGAACAGACTACCTGTCTACACAAGTACCCTACTGAATATATAAATGAAACTTAAGTAAACTCTCACGCCATATTACTCCTGTTTATTTGTCCGATGTCTACGCCGTGTGTGTGTTTTATATAAATATATGTTAAATTTCATACTCTCGTGAGAGTATTATTGCATTGTGTTAGTCTCTGACCTATATAGGGGGAGGAGAGAGACCAGGGACTTTACCCCTTAACTTTTAATGCCCCGGTTTTCATCATAAAAGTTCATAAATTTTCATTCGTGCTCCTGTGGTTTGGTTGACTCTGGGCAGACAGGCGGCGTAGATGCGTGACACATGTTGTGTGGTGTGGATGTGTGAACATGGTGTGTGTGTGCGATGTGTGACATGGTGTGGGTGCTGGATGTCGAGGAACTTTCGTAATTAGTCCGAAGTCGGCAACACATAAAATAATACACTTCGTGATTTTACCAGAATCTTTTTATAGCTGAGAAACAAAACATCTATAGATGATTTGATGTCGTTATTTCTCTCATCCGGACAATATGACTACTATATATAATGTGTGTGACGAGACGAAAGACGTGTTCTTGGAGTGTCGACCAAGAGAGGACCTTTGTAGCTCTACGCTACTCTTCGGTTCAAAGATTTATTATAGGTCCCTTACGTACGTCTCGACGTAACCCGAACTCTATTCAGGCCCGGCACGCAGTGCGGAGGTGGCAAGGGCCTACTTTACGTAGGCGCCTCCTTCGGCACCTCCTGGTAGTCACATAGGAGCCAATATCGAGGAGGTCTCTCGGACGGAGTTGCGAGCTAGGAGCCAGGAGCCACACGTAGTACATATTATTCTTACCTATGTCGCACCTTCCGCCCCGGAGTAAGTAAAGCGTAAAGGATAACCCGCGTACCTACTGTTTTTACCGGGTTAAAAACCTCTCACTTTGCAGTGTCCTAATGGGTCCGTACGCGGACTCTTCATGGGCATACACGCGTTGAAATTGGTGCGGGGGGTTTTCCAAGGAAGTGTAGAAGTGTAGTTTCGTGCAGTTAAACGCATGTGCATGTCGTGGCGGCGCAAGACCTAACAATACTACCTAAACTATAACTTGCTTATTGGCTCCGCCTGCCGCCGTCAATCGTCGATCGTCGATCGCCGATCGGTCACATTGCAGGCTCGGTAATCATTAATACACATGCATGGTCCGGTACCATTGCATGTGTATTTAGCAATACATGAAAATATAATGCCGACTACATTGTGCTAGATCACTACCAAAACAAGTCGTAACGGTCGAAGTGACAACTCGAAATACAACACGGGTCGTAAGAGGACACGAGACTTTATAGTTTTACACCTATTCGTTATTTTGTTGTGATTTTATTTGTGATGTTATGTTAACAATAAAACAAGTATAACACACAATGGAATATTGTTGTGTCCGATATATAATATGATATATATATTATGAATATATATGTATGTTTCATATTAATTACGTTGACAAGTTAACTAAATCTCGAAAACTGTTGTTATATTAGAAATAAAGATATACATATTGATACTGCTGAAGGAAGGAGCTATCGCCGCTATAGTATACCATAATCGATTAATTAGACCCAGTTTTGCACAAAACACGGGTGTACGTTTCAACATTTGAGACCAAACTAAGGAACGCACCATTAAATATCAATTATCGTTTGTCGTTGCAAAGTTGAGGAAATTACCATATAAACGTTCACGTATTCCTCGATGTCCATGCAATTAGATGTCAACCATTATAATTGAAATAAATTATGTTCTAAATGTAGTATGTCGGGTACGTCATATTATAAAATGTTTACTACTTAATGTCGTTTGTACACGTTTATATAGGTAATAATGTCGAGGCACCCGTCATTCCCGGCTATACCCAAGGCAATAATAAAACTAGGTACCCATTTCCATTTTGGTATCATCATGACTTGTGCAGTTGTAGTGTACTTGCACGGCCCGCCGCGGCCAGGGCACAAAAATCTACGCGCAAGGTATTACGTCTCCCTTTTATTGAGAGTCTTATTTGCAATAATCGTGTAAAATGTTGAACCTCTTTGATTTCAAAAATTATTCCCGGATATGTTTCACAAGTATGACCCATCAAATAAATCATAATTTTTTTTAATAGGTTTAGCTAAAATGTCTGGTGAGAAAGGGGTACATTTCAGTTCACCTCTTTTCACAAAGGCCCCGGACCGTTGGTTTGCCTTCACATCATGGCCCGCAAACCGGTGGTGCTTATAAAAAGTAGACTCTACGACCGCGTGAAGGACCGCCCGAACCACACGTAAATCTCTTTACTCTACCAGGAAGTTTTACAGCGCGACTTTAAGTAAAAGCCCAGTTTGATGCCTTGGCTCCTGAGCTCCTCAGCTCCTCCGGAGAACTCAAAACTCTTTCGGAAGATTACTGTCCTTTTGGTCTCTGTCAGATTTGTTCTTGTTTGTGTTGCGTCTGTCTTTTGGTTTCCTGTCTAGATCTGTTCTGTTTTGTGTTGTGGTCTGGTTAGCACTGTGTATGAACCATTGTTAGACCCTAAAAGGAGTACTCACTGGACAAGTGAGTATTGATCTTTTACGTAAAGGACGTCTTTTATGCACACTTACGACATTTGACACTTTGTAAACCACCGACTTAAATCGACTTTTACGTCTTTTTCGACTTATACAATAATCGACTTACCAGAGACATCGACGAGAAATCGATGGATTTTCCGCTTGAATCGCCTCTTTACGTCTTTTCCTTTAATAAACTTAGTTTTAACCAATGTCGAGTTTTCGTAACGTACTGAAACAAATTTTTGAACTTTCACTTTTGACCTTCTCATCCTGTTTATCACTTCTTCGAATTATAAATTTTCCTTTCCAAAATTTTTCCATATTTTGTTGTTTGTACATATCCGGAGTTACAGGACTTTATCGACTTGTTACATTATCAACTTACCAAAAGACATCGACTTTCATCCGACTTTCCTCAATCTATAATTTACAATTTCATTCACGTAATACAAATGTTTGTGGACACACACATTCGAGGTCTTCTAGTCTCCAATGGGTACCAACTCCTGCCAATAGTGGTGGACAAATGCACTCGGCTCTCTAGTTTCCAAAGGTACCTCTACACGACACTTTCCTCTCGGAAAGGGTAACAAGACTTCGTCTTTATTTGGAGAATGTAAAGATTGTTATCAAATTTTTGCCATCGACGAAAAGCCATATTTTACAGTTGCACACACACACACACACACAC